GGTGAGCCTCACTTTCAAGAAAGAATGAAGTTGTGAATCATTAATTAGAGTTACTTGTGAAGTTCATCGTCCCACATCAGTGCGTCCCTCTATGATGCGTGTGGTCCTTCCCCTGTCACTTTGAGCTTTATCACTTCAGCTCTGAGATCGAAGGCCAAGCCTCGAAAATCAAGACATAGGCGAGTTTGGAAAGACTAGGGAAGATAATCCAGAGCTTTTGCTACATCATTCCGTTCAGTGTAAGAATTCCTGAAGGAGCAGAAATTGTACTGAATGCGTGGGAGAGCGATCTAGAGGACGAGAGCAGCTGGTCTGAATCGTACGGTTATACTTCAGTAGGATCAAAATGAGGCACCAATTAGGGCGTGTGATAATTGCCCCTCCCACACTAAGGCCCAATCACTTCGTCCCGGAATCTGAATGATTCTTTTAGTGCAAATTTAGTTGTGACTATGACATGAGGAATCAGCAGGATCCAATTTCACCTATGTTTACAGATTTTCACTTTTCAATGGCATATTCTACTGGCATACAGTCTATGGTATTTGTATGACCGAAAGTCCCCACAAAACGGTGGCTATCGAGTCAATTTCCCGCAGAGGTTTGGGCATTCAGTTTCTTTTTTCATTATTCGGACCCACTTGCTTTGTTCAGGTGGAGGATACAGAAATGGTTTGCCAACTACTTCCCAATTACACTACATAGAACCGCCGAACTGCCTGCAGATCGAGTATGTCCATGAAGTGTCTCTCTAGTTCATTCTGTTCGCTCAGTAATTCATTCAGAACTATATTGTCGGATGCCATCCCCACGGAATCATCGGCATGGCAGTCACCTCGAATTTTGCTTCAGAAGGAACTGATAAGAGCAAAGTGGTTAGTGGAAGTTTTCCAAGGTTGAACTAACTTTGATGTAATTTTCTGCTGGTTAGGAGGTGATAGAACTTATTCTAGTGGTGGAGATCTTAGAACCCATTTCCACAGGAGAATAGGTCACAGTGAAGCGAGTTGCTGGTTAAAACAACTTCGGCTCTTGTCGCGTGCAACCATAACGCTCTCTGACCTAACGTCTCACAGCCAGCCGCGTTGACATGGCTAGTCAAGGAGACTGCGTAGAACCTCGGGCTCTCATATTTTCTTACTAATGACGATGCCACCTTTTACTTTGTCGATTTAAAAAGTATATAGTTGAGTCGGACTTTTAAAAGAATCATTTTCAGTTTCCAGGGATTCGATTTTCGGTGTGCACCTTGGCATCAAATTTCCAAGTCATGTTTACGTGAGCATTTCTGTTTATGTACTCATGAATCAATGTGAGTTCTGGTTGAGCAGAATATAATTTCAGGAGAGAGTTCCTACTTCTTTGTGGACTTATTGACTGCTCCAAGGAGAGCATAGCAAATGCACTCGCAGAACAAAAAACAGGACGAGCCATTGTGTTAGCCGTTGGTGAGTGATGGCAACTTTGCCAACTATTCTGTGATCATTCACTGTCCCTAAAAGCTCTTCCCGATCTCTCAGTCGAACTTTCAAGGTTACATTTATGAAAGGGCTCTTCAGTTTGTTGTTGGGGTGCATTCAAGAAGCCTCACTACCTAGTCATCTAGCGCTGAGCCACCCTAAGGATGCCAAAACGGATATCGATGATGTTTCCCAGTCGAAAAAGTTAAGCCACTGTAATGTCTGGGTCAGAATTCTAGTTTCTGAAGCAGTACGGAAGGGGAGTTGCAAAAAATTTCATTCCCATTGTGAGTTTCAGTTTTTTTACGAGACTGTTCAAGGGTTCATTACGTGACATAGGCGAAGCATATCGAAGTGTGAACATACTGGTAATATCTTATTAGTAACCCTATCCAACTTTAAAGGACATCGGTTTAGGTGGCGCCGAAGAAGCTCTGGAAGCTCGCCCGGGAGCACACAAACTGAAGCTGCTCACCCGGAAAGGATTCGTGAAGCAAGCCATACGAAACGGTGCTTCTTTGGTTCCTGTGTATTCGTTTGGGGAAAATGATCTTTACAACCAGGTCAGTTCCCAGAAAAAGAGCAAATCTATCACAATAGCTGTAGTTGGGTAGGTAAATCTTACGGAGGTGATCGAGTCTTTTTAGCTGGATAACCCTGAGGGATCGCTGGTACGTAAAATCCAGACATTGTCAAAAAGATGGCTAGGGATTTCACTGCCACTCTTCTATGGTAGAGGAGTGCTACAGGTAAAAATGGGTCGCTCACTCGGTTATGTTGTAATTGCAAACCTACGCTTCCAGCTGAACTTCGGTTTTCTACCTCATCGAAGACCAATTCACACTGTTGTGGGAGCGCCGATAGCTGTTTCCAGGATTCCTGAACCTACCGATGAGGAAGTGGATAACGTGCATCGGCAGTACTGCAAAGCCCTCGAAGAGCTTTTCGAACAACACAAAACTCGGTTCGGCGTCTCCAAGGAGGCGAAGCTCATCCTAGTCTAATACGGAATACTGCCATTAGTAGTATTGCAATTATTCCTGGTTATTCAGAGCAGTTCTCATCCGTTGGGTTTTCTTTTCTGTCTTTTTTGGTGGTTTACATGAGTGAATTCTTGATTTTGAGAGGATCTCTTTAGGGTTTCTGGGGCAGTTCTGTCAGTGCCATACTTCATGGCAACCAAGCAAATTCGTAGTGACATATTTGAAAAAAAGGGGAGTAAATCGATTCTGGCAACGAAATTCTTTCTAGAGAACCCTTTTTTGTTCTTGGAAACAAGTTTATAAAAGAGTAGGCGATAATGAACAAGGTAGCAGCTACGCGTCCCTCTTCAGGCAGATGTGATTGGTCGAAATCCTCCCGGACCAATCGAGTCTTCCTTGTTTTCATGGCCATTATTTTCATTTCTAGCCCCCAGACCTATGGATGTACGTGCCATCGGGTGTCTTTCCCATTGTTCCTTTCAGCTTCAGTTTTGGAGATTTGCTTACTAAAAATGATACTATGTGCTTGAGGTGTTATATAGTAAAGTAAAAGTAGTAAGAATTGGTAAAGTTAAAGTATCCGCCATTGTAAGGGCAATAGGCATTCTGCAGTGAATGCTCTTGTCTATGCGATTGATTTTTCCTGCAATTTTTTAATATTTTCACTGCAGCCATTGATTTTAATGTGGTTGCATAAAGCTTTTCATTCGTTGCAGCTGGTTAGTTACATATTCGGCATCGGACCATCAGTACCTGTCATCAGTCTCCCTTACAACATTCCTGTTGAATTCTTTCTCTGGAATTGAATTAGCAGTAATTCTGTTAGATGCTGGTGCTCTATGGCTCCTTGAAGTGCTCAAATTGAAGTAGCAGCTCTTCAAAGGCATCAGACTTTGGGTCCCAGAATGTTAATTGTTGCACGTTTCGTTATCTACTCCTGTTGCAATTTTTGTTGTTATCACCGGAATCTTTACTTTTAATGGGTACGATAAAGCTTTTTCCAGTTGTAGCTCATTAAATGATCACGGTGAAACTGTCGAATATTCTTCAGAACTGTTGTTCGAGAATTCTCTGAAGTAGTGACTACTCATGATTAATGTGCTCACTCGTTCGGGACGACGTGGTGTGTCCCATTCAGTCCGTCCTACTCTAACCCTTCCCACTTCTCCTGTCTCAACCCGATTTCGGGAAACGCATATTCTACCACAACTGTGTTAGGAAAATTTATTAACAAAATCAAACTCAAAGTTTGTCTGTCAGTTTATTGCCGTTCTTATGCCGAACAGCGTCCATCTAAACCGGGNCAGCTCTATCGTTATGCATTCAATTATTACTTTGGCATGATTCTAATGTTAGTTCGTTTGTTTCTGTATTTCTTTCTTGCTACATCATTCTGCTACATTCCTTCGCGCGCGGCGTCTCTCTCGTTGCGACGCGGCAATTTGGATCCTACTGCACCACACGCAGCTATAGCTGAGTTCTGAAACCAACAAAATGGGGGTTGGAACGCGGAACTAGAAAGATTTTCAGAAGAATGGTGAGTTGTCAGCGAAACTTCGAGTACGGACGAGGACGGCTCGAATCCGTAAATGTGCTTTTCGGGCACCGTGCTCTTTATCATTTGCCCTACTGAGACCGCTCGCTTTCTTTATGGCTTATATGCCTGGACAGCACCAAGTACAGGTTCGAGTTCCGTCCGAGGCCAAAGATTTGCTCACAATTCGCCATCCTGGTGAGATTTCCCAGCGTATACTGCTTCGATAGGTCAGCACTTCACAAAAACTTCGAGGCGTGAAATAGTTTCCTCTTCGGTATAGCTATAAGTATACAAGTTCGTTACTTGCAAAGGAACTGGTACTTTTATCAACGCAGCGCAGGTGGTGATATGCCGATGGTTTTTGCGATTTCAATGGCAGTAATAGTTCTTTCCTGTGGGAATCCACCTTGACCACAACTAATGAGTTGTACTGAGCTTAGGAAACGTTTTTTTCTGGAGCAAAGGAGAATGAGTGGGGAAGCANGTTGCAAACTGATAAGCTCCAGTTGCGCCAAGGATACCGGAAGGCGTGTTCGCCGTAGTTTGATCAATCGATAAGGACGAGATGGGCGGCTAGAATCTAGTCGACCATCTCGTCCAAAGCATGACAATGCTGCGTATAAAAGAGTTTTCCTGATAACGTCAGTACGACAACGAAACCCCGTAGATACCACTTTTTTCTTCTTTTTAATCTGATTTCTTTCATTCAACTTCCTGTTTCCTTGCAGTGTACGTTATTCTCTTGGAAAAGACCTTTTCTTCAGTTCCATCGCGATTTTTTTTGGAATTTCTCATCGCCTTTATCTTAATGTACTGGTTCTGCAAATGTCCGTTCCATTTTTCATTTCCTCTGTTTTCACAAATTGTTGTTGACAATTTATCGTCTCCTGTTCAACAACTCCTGTTGTTTTTCTAGCAGTTGTTCCCAGTCACATGGGCTGTGGCAAAATCGATTCGCAACAGAGTCGTTATGAATGTGAGGATGACCAGCTAGGCGACCAAGGAAATCCTCGTTTTCCTTCAATCTTCAAAGGGGCATCCGGTTAAAAGTGTTTGCATGTACCTCTCGAAATGTCTTGGACCATTTAGAGCAGGTAGTCTCTGCTTGAAAGAGACAGTTCACGATTCAAATGGTTTCTGAGGTTTTTTCCTTCTCAAATGAACCTTTGGCCCCCGAGGAAAGTATTTGGAACCTTGTCGGGTGGAAAAGCAGCTCCAGCACTACGTTACAAGGGTTCCTGCGTCTGCGTGGCCGACGTGCACGCCCAAAAATGGCCGTGTTATGGCGGCTTTCTTAAGACTGTACCATTTACAATGACGCATTACTACGCCAACGAGTAGTACGCTTACGTGGGAGGCACCCAGACGGTTAAAGGCACGTAATCTCGAACATCCCCTTTCTTGCTACTCTCTTCAAGCCATGTATTTCTTAGAATCTGCCGATTTTCACCACTCCTTTGCGCTTCCATTGCTTCACTCAACTGGATACCTCAGAATTATAGCGGACCAGCCTGTAAACTTGAACTTGTATTGTTTACATTGTATGGATTATGGTAATTGGTATTTGTGTTGTCGCACCCTACCTTTATAATCGATCAAAATTTCCATACCTATTTTTACCGTGGATTTATTCCGACTTAATAAACTTATAAATACCAGTTTTGTATTCTATTTTTTTAAGGATGAAGCGAATTCTTGGCATCGACTTTTCACCACTTGTTGAGCCATGGGAGGACAAGCTGTACACTCTGGGCATGGTCATACACTTCACGCTTACCTTTCCTGTTACCATAATCTGCTCTATTTTACCGATCGTCTTAGTAAGTTCATTGGCATCATAAGTTAGAATAGGGCTGATAAACTGATTCATATAAAGGAGAAGAGCACGGTGCTCGGAAAGCACGAGTACGGGTTCGAGTCCCGCCGAGGCCGAGGGAGTTTTGCCCACATATCGCCAGCCTTGTGAGATTTCGGATCACCTACTGCGGCGATATAACAGCAGTCAACTGACATCAAGTCATAATTGGTGATTCAGATGATTCTGGCGCTAATCAATCCCTCCTAAGATGCGCCCCGTATTCGACTTCCATTCTGAATCGTAGTTGTGTTTGAATGCTTAGGTAGCCTATACAATGACTTTGATGGCCAGTCTACAAGTCGGTTCTTTTATCTTCCCAGACAAGTCTGGTATCAATTGGTCGACCCAAATTGATGGGAGGAAGGCTTGAATAGAATAGAATGGAAGAGAAAAAAAGTAAAATTAGTAAGAATAATAGTAATAGTAAAAGTAATTATCTATATTGACTGTCATCCCGTTGATCTTCGATTTCTTCAAGCGGGCGCCAGTAGTGTCTCCATTTGTTCCTGTCGCGAGCCAGAATGGTTCAGTGGATGGTCCTCGCTTGATGGATTAATGGACCCGAGGCACAGCATTCCCTCCGTTTAGACCTTTCGTGAAAATGTATGACCATAGCACCGACGGCCGTCCTGGTTTGCGCTTGGCGTTCCGAGGGATCCAGTCAGTAACCGGCCAGTGATTATGAGTAGATGTGGAGCAGTGGAGAGAGCCTTGTCAGCCACATATTTTCTGAGAGATGATCTCGTCTAGTGAGCAAGACCCACCAGAACCCGGGGGTGTCATAGTTGAAATCGTTCATGTTTGACATATGAACAGCATTAAGCTCCTTTAACCGTTCAGATTACTTCATAAGAGAAATTATCATCTGAACGCACTCTCATGGGAGTAAAAATAGACATTACGTTGGCAATCTTACCGTTCCAGAGAACTGGCAATTGATCGGGCGTTTACGTTTAAGAAGTTATTTCGCTCTTTTACCAATCCTATACAGTGTTTTCGGTTTTGAAATGGATAATGGATAAAGTTTTAGGGCGTTAATCAATTCCATCTGAGGAATGCGCCCGCGAGTGGTGTTTGAATGCGTATGTGGCCTATACAGTGACTTGCGATGGCCAGCCGATGTACAAGTCGAAGCTTTCACCCTCCCAGACGAGTCTGCTACCAATNGCCACTTGCCACTGCACCCACTTCTGTCTCGTCGGCTTTATTTTAAGAAAAAAGGGATATTTTTGAGAACATTTCATGGCAGTATGTACCGTATTTACAGATGGCCACATTGCAATGGCACATTTTATTTTTGTATGCAATGTGGTATCTGTATGACCGGGATTCTCCAAAAACTGGTGGCTACCGAAATAATTTTCCGCAACGGTTTGTATTTTTTCTTACCGTTCTTGGCATCCCGCTGGTACTTCTGATTAACTCAATTCAAGATGGATATATTACAAATGGTTCGCCAAATACTTCCCGGTAACTCTTCACAAAACTGCTGAACTGCCAGATGACCGGGTAAGATGGTTCACTGTCTCCTCCTGGAGCTATTCCTCATCAGTCAACAGTCATTTCAGAATTACATCGTTGGATGTCATCCCCATGGTATTATTTGTATGTCAGTGTCTGCTAATTTCGCCTCAGAAGGAACCGATAAAAGCAAAGTGGTAAGTGAGGTTCCCCAGCCGAAGTTCGAAGAATGCTCGATTAAGCCGGTCCACTAAACAAACCGTTTCAGTTTCCGGGAATACGATTCTCCCCATGCACTTTGGCGTCAAACTTCAAAGTTATGATCACGTAAGTCACCCGTTTACCCAATACTGTAACTCCAAGGTTTTTACTTCTATACTGTTCCAGAAGGGAGTTACTGCTGCTGGCTGGATTCATTGACTGCTCCAAAGAAAGCATCTCAAACGCTCTGTCAGCACAAAAGGGTGGACGTGCCGTGGTCCTGGCTATAGGCGAGTTACAGCAACATACTTACGGCTTGTAGAGTGGGTCTCTTATTGAAAGCTCAACTTCTCCTATTTAGGTGGAGCGGAAGAGGCTCTGTATGCCCGACCAGGAGAACACGTACTAAAATTGCTCTCCCGAAAAGGATTTGTGAAGCAGGCTCTTCAACACGGTGCTTCATTGGTACCTGTGTATTCGTTCGGTGAAAATGATCTCTACTATCAGGTTGGTGGGACAACGAAACTTCGTTTTGAACTATTCCAATACTTTATTCCCAGTAAGAACCCATGTAGAAGGGTATGACGGAGCTATTGCAGGTGGACAACCCGAAGGGGTCCTTGACGCGAGCGTTCCAGAGGTGGACAAAAAGTATGCTTGGGATTTCAACGCCCATTTTCTATGGGAGAGGATTGTTTCAGGTGAACCTTCCAACTTCATCCCGAAAAAGCGGTTTTTTACGAAAAACGGCCGTGAATACCATTTTGTTTGAATGCTGGCTTATCTTACAATTATTTCCCATTAGAAAAGGGAAATAACGCCTAGATAGAGTGTGAAGAATCCTCAAAAATACTAAATGGATTGAAATTGAGTTTTCAGTTGGACTTTGGCCTACTGCCTCGTCGAGTGCCGATAGATACAGTCGTGGGGGCCCCGATAGCCGTTCCCAAAGTTCTCGATCCGTCCGATGAAGAGGTGGATCGTGTCCATCGCCAGTACTGTGAAGCACTCACGGAACTGTTTGAGCAACACAAAACTCAATTTGGAGTTTCCAAAGAGACGAAACTCGTCCTGCTTTAAAGATTGCATTTATTTAGTGTGATAATCTTTAGTTCGCCTTTGTTTTAGGGTGTGAGCATTTTCCAGTCCAGAGTGCCTTGTTAGAAGAGATTCTATCAGACTGATCTCAAGCACTACCTAACATTATTCGTTGTCGCTGCGCATTTCTTAATATGTCTTGTTTTCATTTATAGCATTTATAGAATTTTGTCATTTAAGATGTATATTTACAATTTTTATAAACTTTCGTGCATGACTTGACTGAGCAGCTTTCAGACATCTTATCAGTATGCTGTCACAACTCTTCGGAATCTCAAGATCGTTGAATCTCATGAGAAATCATTAAAGTCTATCAAAACTTTCAGGCGCTACTCGATACTGAAACTACTGTTTTTCTCTCATGAGATGAAGTCCGGTTTAGATCTTTACCTTTTCCTTGACACTGGCACCCCTCTCAAACTTTGTCACCGTCATTTCCATTTATCGACAAAGAATTTTTTGTCATAGCAGTCCAACGAAGACTCATCTCCCTGCTCAAGACAGCGATTTTGTCGGGCACGTAACCTTAGACCATAGAAAGCGGTTGTAAATCGTTTTATTGCTATGATTTAACAATTGATGGTAGGCCATATATCAAGAGGTGGAAGCAAATGACAAGTATATACCATGATGGACTTTTCTCATTCTTGGCATTGAGAAACCTTGTAGGGCCAAGGTTTCGGCGACATTACGGTGAGGTCAGGAAAGAGGTAGGCTTGCACATTGTAGGCAAACTTTAATTTCTGGGTGGTTGATCTAACTCTCCAGCGACTTAGATCATGGTAAGCCTCGTAAGCACACTGTTGTATACGAAGCCCGAAGGCCTGCTTGTCTAGAGAACTGTCTTAGGGTTGCTCTGCCTTATAGGAGAATCAATCTCAGATGGTTTTTCGTATTTCAGGCTCTGACGAAGTTAAACTTGCAGAAACGTTAGCTCCATATAGTGAAAAAATCTCGGAAAGGCTGAAGCAAGCATACATACAAGTGACAAGTGTATGATGATATCGAACTTATAAAACTTATCTGATTATATTGGGAATGAGTCATGCTCAGCTCTTCTAAACATGGCTTTTACCTCCAGAGTCATCTCTATTGTAGGGAAGTAGTCAAAAGTTCCAATGACACTCTCATTGAAGCTGTTACTTTCCCTACGGATAACATCTGTCGATGAAATCTTCAAAAATGTAAACAACGGGAAAGAACTGTGAGCTCAAAACAACTCTTGATCGACTTTTTCCACTTGCACCGCCTGCCAGGAAGTACTTTTGGACTGTGCTGTCGCGTTTTGCACTTGTCGCTGTAAATAACATCAACTACAGTGGAGCCAGAATCACGTGCTTTGCTCTCTGCTGTACTGGGTGTAACTTTCATGCCGATCGCTGGCGTACGGGAGTTCGCCGTAGTGTTCTGGGGGTCCACTGGTGTTCCTTTGCTTCTCGGCTCTTTTTTCTCGAGTTTGCCTCATTTTTCGAGAATATTTTCTTTCCACTGCCCAGGAACAGCTTTATTACATTTTGTTTATTGTTCTTGTATCAATAAAATATTTTTGGAGTGGTAGGAGACGGATCTGAGCTGAAAATGTCTGAGACAAAACCTTAGTGGTCTTCCTATTTCCGACCAAGACTCCTCACAGGACTATCCGAAATCGTTGAAACCATAAGAAGTCGTGCCTTCACAAACTGACGTTGGTAAGCAGAACTTTAGGATGAAAGTAACTGTAGGGTAATGTACCAGGAAACTTTTCCCGGGAGTAACTCCCATAGATAGCAAGGAATGCTGCTTCGTTGTCAAGAGCTAATTAGAGCTATAGCTACAGTTATAGTATAGTTTTACTGATTTGTTATTGACTTTTCCTTCGCTCACTTAGGTTTTTTCTTCCATTAGTGACTCACTCCATATGACCAAAATGGAGTAACAAGTTCTACGCTGTAGTCGACAACCCGTGCAGAAATCAATCAATGTCTTAAAGAGCAAAGAAGAACGGTCTGCTGTTGTCTTCGATGGCTGCCGATGTGGAAAGTCAATACATTTGTAATGCCAGAAAAACAGAACCTGAGATGATCGAAAGCAAAAGTACACACATACCAACGTGTCTCCTCGCAACATTCAACGTTCCAGTAGCAGGAGTAGGGGATCACAAACTTCCGAAGCGGTATTGTTGGGTACAAGTTCTCGTTGTAATGTCGAAAGGTTTGTCATGGTCAGAGGTGGATTAATTGTAGGAGCTCACCGCCTTGGAATGAGCTCGTGGGGGGGGAAACATCAATCGAGATTCGCTAGTTCATCTAGGAATTAGTCTTCTGGGTTCACGGGTTCACCTTATTGACCCCCAATTCATGTGAAGCGTCTAAAACTTTGACGTTTCATCGGTCAATATCCCTGAATCGTTGCATAGGCTCATTCAATTGCTGTCACGGTTCCGAATTGAAGTCGAATGTATGAGCGCATCACAAAACCCTTTGACCCAGTGAGAGAAACACGGAAGGACTAGAAATTGAGGATATTAGTGACATCTTGAAAAAACTCTCTCAACTCCGAAAAAGAAAAACCAACCATTGAACGTGACGGGCTCGGCTCTAGTGAAGTTTAGAATTTATCGAAAACAATCGATCCGAACTAGAGGTAAATGAGAAAACATAAGTGTAGATATTAAAAAGTCCTTCTATGTGCATAGTTTTAAGGAATTTCTCGAGTTCGGAGTGCTTCCTTCGTCTCAGCAGCTGCCTCCAAAGAATGTACTAGAGGAAGGGGAAGCAGTTGCTGCCCAAGCAAGATCCGACTGTTGATATCATATCCTATGTGCCGATATAAATTGTTTTCGTTTGTCAGAAATAGTTTTACTGTTGCGTTTTTGCTCTAACCATATCTTATCGTGTTTACTCCCGTCCTACATCTCCCTTTGGGTGGGCCCTATCGGTTAGACGGTGTACTCCCACGGCACCCCGCCCACGGTTCTTTACTAGACTGTAGTAGGGCAGTTTTCCAAGTCTGAACACCTTAGATAAAAGCACAGAACATCTATTCAGAACAGACAAACTCTATAATGGACATAATTAATTTACTCCCAAGTGCGCACTTTGTCATTCTTACCAACCGTGAGCAAGACTGATTATATTTTGTTTGGAGTTTTTTAAAAATCACTTCCTGTCTTTTTACATAGGCCCCTTGTTTGACTATATGTTCCTGTGCTGCAGATTTGTTTTTATTTTCTGATTTACTGTTCACAGCTGTTCCCTTGTTATTTATTTCGACCGCTGAAAAAGTGAGACGGTTTTTTCTGAATGTTTTCTTGTTTTTGTGCCAATCTTTCAGGTGCAAATTCATTCTGCTTTTCTTGTTAGGGTTGGAAAATGGATGATATTCCCGTTGTATGTAGCCAGTTTTCTAACTCATTTAAAAGAACTATTTAAAATAAATTACCTTGGAACGAGCTGATCAAAGCCAGTTTTCGTGCTGTGTGTTAAATGTAGTCCCCTGGAAAAACAGACGCTTCGATTGCCTAACCTTTTCGTCGGCGGGATTTTACGAAGGCCCTAAAGTGCATCGATCCCTTCATTGTGCTTCAAACGTTATCCATAGCGTACCCACCCCGGTTCCGTTTTTGCAACTTTTCTCGTTATGTAATTTTCCTCTTCGCTTCACGGCTGAAGCCTCAGCTGCCTCCCATGGAACTCTTTTCATTTTATAGTGCATAGAGGCTGCTGTTGCCATGCTCCTCTGCGTTTTATGTCATTTGGTGATCGTTTCATCTTTAAAAGTAGATGTTGAACTGGCAGTTTGCCAAATATTTCCCATGTTTCTCATATCAGTAACCTCCTTGTACTGTTTTATTTCAGCAGTAGTGGTAATTAATCCATAGCCATGGTGCTCGGAATTAACTTCGCGCCCTTACATGAACCATGGGAGAAGCAGAAACTTGTACTTGGCGTTCTTCATCATTTCTGGATCACTTATCCTTTGTCCATCATAGGCCTACTGATGCCTTTCTACTTGGTATGACTGCCTTTTTTCTTGTTATTTCTCGGTCACCTTTCAATTTTCTCTATTTAGTGGCAGAACTGGTTATAGTGCAACTATGATATGCACTCGGACTGCACAACAAACACGCCTGCGAGTCGGTGTTTCTCGTTTTCTCTAGGGAGAGGGGGAAGGGTTGAAGACAATTCATTTATGTTCAGTTTTTCGGCAAATTGCAAATGGCCTGGGCAACGCAACTAGTCGCAGCTATTCTTGGGTGAGCAGAAGTAATTACCTATTTGCGCAGTTTAAATAGAAATCCAGGGCTAACTCCTCGATACCTTCTGACGCGCACTTTCGTTACCAGACCATAGTAATTTGTGGGTAGTCGGCAAGCGCAAGGGAATGCGTTACTATAGGCAATTGATGCTGCTCCCCTCCAGGTTCTGAAGGAGGCCACTGCCTCCTTTAGGTTGGCAAGATAGGTACAGGTCTGGGTGCGCATCGGAACAAATGCAGCTTTTCGACTTCCTTTTCTTTTTTGTTTGTGTCGGGAATGCTATGACATGTTCGTTATAGCTTCATTATAGCATTTGGGCTCTTTTTCCTTCGGAACTACCTCACTTTGGAGTGGGGATTGCTGGTACAAAATCAATTCTAAAGGGCAAATCTACTCACTTGTCAAGTTTATGTGCATCTCGTATTATTCCTTGAGCTAAATACCCTATTAGATGCCTCCAGGATTCTTTAAGGGGGGCTAAGGGGGGCTAAACACTGGGCACTGAACAGGGATTAATGAGAGAGCTTTCTCATTTTATCCTTTACGTGCATGAGAAAGTTTGATTATTTTAGGAAGTGAAATTGCTGGCATAATTAGAATAAAAAAGAGTAAAGTTTTTGGCGTCAATCAATCCCATCTGAGGGATGCGCCCCTCATTCGACTTCCATTCAGAATTGTAGTGGCGTAATGAGTGCGTATATGGCCTATACAATGACTTGCGGTGGCCAGCCGATGTACAAGTCAGTGCTTTTATCCTCCCAGACTAGTCTGATACCAATTAACCGATCCCGTAGGGATGGAAGGCTTGGTTGTCTTAGGCGGATATCGATCCGGGATTCGAACCCCTGACCGTGTGTGTAAGATAGTGCGTCACTTGCCACTACACCACCACCGCCTTCTGGCATAAATAGAAAATACAACTTATTCATCTGAAGCAATTCTCCTTCAGCAGACGAGCTCTCCCTCTGAATTAACAGTCATTTGCCAGAGCCCTATGGATTTTTTTGCAGTTTTTCACCTTTCAATGGCATATTTTACTACTCTATGCAGCATGGTACTACTACGACAGAAATTCACCAAAACGTGGTGGATACGCTAGTGAATGGGTTCAAAGGTGAGTAGTAGCTGTAAAGCCTGTATCTTTAAAATTTTCTCCACCTTATACTGCTTAGTATCAAAAGCTTCTGTATATCCTATAACTCCTGCTAGCACCTAAACGTATTACAAGTGAGAACAAAGCATAATTCCTCCCACAAATTCATTTCTTGCCGGAGTGGACAGACAATGACATTCGAAGAAGAAACCCTCCATTTTGTTCTGGCTTGTAACGGGCGGTCTCGCACAGAAAGAGGAGCGAAAACCTTCATGAGCATATCCGCTATATACTTACTTCCTTAGCATAGGACCGAGCACCTATTCACTCAATACGCTTTGCACGTTTCCCATGGATATGGCGATATGTTCAAGAATTTTTCGAAACCATCCAAAAGAGAGTTGATACTCTTGCTGAAACGTTGCAACCAGTGATTTGCGATTCCCTCTAAATCGTCATCTTTTTGAAATTCAAAGTTCTCGTGGTGAAAGGGCTTTGCTGATTCGCGAAAATGCGAATGGAATTCTTTATTCCATAGGTTGTTTCTTCTAGAATAGTTTTGCCTGCCTTCCGTGTACTTCCATCCTAACTACGTTATGTATACTCTCATATTCGTCAACTTCTTGCGATCACCATGTTGGAGATAATTTCTAAATTCATCATTTACAAAACGTATAACAGTTGAAAAATTTTTGCAAGTTGTTCATGTTTATGGTTTTTAAGGGCATTAGCTAAAAGTTCAGGAAAGTTCAAACTTAAAACATATTTATAGGTGGACCGTGCACAAATGGTTCGCCGACTATTTTCCAGTCACCCTTCATAAAACTGTCGATCTTTCACCGAATCACGTGAGTATCTACTGGAAATGATTGAAAAACTCGATTCATCGTAGGCATCCATTCTCAAAGTGAACCCTGCTGAACTCTGTCGGGGCGGTTACAACCCTTGTGAAGAATTTTCTTTTTCTGAGATAATTATAGTCTGCTCTCTGCGGCTTACCCTTACGATTCAGACAAACTCATCTGAGGGGAGGTCACATTCATTGCAAAATGCTTTTTCATATGTATGTCTTTGACACTGATGTGAATCACAAGAGGTTTCTTTCAGAACTACCTCATCGGTTGCCATCCACATGGAATTATTGCTATGGCAGTGTATGCGAATTTCGCCACTAACGGCACCAATAAATATGCCAAAGTAAGAAATTCATTGGCTACAATCTCTTGGCCGTTCACATCAGTTTTTAGTGTGAAATAGTACAAATGGTTTTTCAGTTCCCTGGCATTCGTTTCCGGGTATGTACATTGACGTTCAACTTCAAAATGATGATTAAGCGTGAATTGCTTCTTCTAATGGGTTGTATAGATGCTTCAAGGGAGAGTATCGAATACGTGCTCGATAGTCAGGAAACTGGTCGCGCTGTCGTTATTGTGGTCGGTGAGTGAAAGAGGTCAAAGCTCTCCACGGAGAGGTCCGGAAGGGTGCGGTGAAAGTTCAGGACCATTAAATACCAGAGAAAGATGGTGAAATGTTCAATCCTCCTTTCCATAACCATTAAAGTAGTTAGTTTTGGCTTGATGTTCTTGCAACCGCCTTTGCCTCTTACCCACGGGTACGGGTTCGAGTCCCGTTGAGTTTTGCCCCTAACCACAAAAGAAAGGAAATATGAGATGAGCACCCTTCCATGTCATCAAGCACTGCTGTAAAGTTGTTGTAGGGAAGTTGATGGTTCATAACCCATCATGGTTCAAGTTTAGGTGGAGCTGAAGAAGCATTAGATGCACATCCTGGTTACCATACGCTGGTCCTCAAATCACGTAAAGGATTCGTCAGGGAGGCGCTGAAAACCGGTGCATACCTGGTTCCAGTTTACTCCTTTGGCGAGAACGAAGTCTTTGATCAGGTGAGAGCATCAAGGTTATAGCCTTAAAAGTAAATTCGAGGATCTACTCATGAATGCTTCTTAGAAGTACTATTGTAGGTTGAGAACCCGAAGGGGTCGACCATACGACGATTCCAGTCGTGGGTGAAACATCTCGCTGGCTTCTCTTTGCCATTCTTCCATGGGCGAGGCATATTCCAGGTTAGAAGCCCTAAATTCCGTCGAAAAAACCGAATTCATATTGCTGTTGAAGTATATAATCTTTACAGCTCACTTTCGGCTATCTTCCGTTCCGAAAACCTATCGATACGGTAGTTGGAGAGCCTATTCCAGTTACAAAGGTACCAAATCCAACACAGGAGCAGATTGATGAACTGCATGAAATCTATGTGGAGAAGCTGAACAGCCTGTTCGAGGAGCACAAGCAGCGATATGGAGTCCCAGCTGAGACGAAACTAGTAATTGCATGAACTCGTTCGCTCTGTCTGTTATAGTATCGTATGTTGACAGGAGTGAGGATATTTGCTCAGAAGCCACCAATGGATTTGTTGTAGGTGGCCGGTTGTTATCTCTACACTTCATATGATACCACTCAATTTACCCATTATAAAATATTCATATGGCTTGTCTTCCTTATAATCCTGTTGTTCCTCTTTATTACGAGACCAGTCATCTTACTTGTGCAGGGTAGAGGTAAAACTCCCATACCTAACACGTAGTACTAACTACTACTAAGTACTGAGTCAGCTCGGGAACGAGTACTACACGTAGTACTCGTTCCCGAGCTGACTCAGTACAAAATTGTTCCCGAATAGAGATTTTGTTCGTATGAAAACCAATTCAATCGTTGTAAGAGACCTGCATTATTTTGATTTTCAGAGAAAATGAATAGAGGTAGATGTTTGGTGGTGGCTTCGTTAAAATCATCTTTATCTCGTCGAGGGTTCCCATTTGATTAAAGACCGAGAGACCTTTATAATACTTTATTTGAATTACTGCTAAACATTTAATTATATGGATTATTGCCACCGTTTTCCGTTGGCGGCGTGGCGTAGGCTGGAGGTGAATGATGTCGATTTGGAGTCGCATAGGAAAGTATAAACCTGCAAGAATTTGGACATTTAAGGAGCCATTCGTATTTTTTGTTCCCGTTAGCAGAGATACCACGTACCTGCCCTGATATTCAATTTTGCATATGAGATCATGGTAAAAGTGAGTTTTCGAGGCATAATCGCCAAGACCTGCCACTGTCTCGAATTCCGTGTTGAAGATGGATTGTGTTCGATTCTGGAATACATTCCAAATCCTTGAATTCTGTGATACAAGAGTAAAGTGCCTCCTCAATTATCTGAACGATTTTCTCTGTGCATCAAAACTCCAAAGACTGAAGCACAATGTGCTAACTACAACTAATTCAAATTACTTGAGGATTCCCACCAAACAACTCATTACATCTAGGAACAAGCGAAAGATCAGGATTTAGTAATTGAATGAATGCCATATAGGGTAATCACTGAAGGCTCATGCAAGCTATACCGGTAGTTGGTTGGGAGGACGTTTCAGTGGTAACGGTGGAGTAGTTGAACAGGTAAACAAAAGGGAGAAAAAACGGACGTAAGAGATTTCGAAGAAGTTCCCACGATGCCCACAGTGGAGGAGGATTTACTAGATGAATCAGCGAAAAAATGGCGGTATGGAGAGGAGCAATAGTGCTCTGTAGAACGCTCGAATATTTGTTCAAAATTCCTACTATTTTAATTCTATTCAAATGATTCATTGCTCACTTCCGAATATTCCGACTGAAAAACAGTCACTAATACTAAATTATTAAGTCATCCCAGATCTATAAGATATAAATTCTTGCTCAAGTGGGATTTCGTGGATAGAAGGGGTGGGCTTTGCATCCTTCCATACACGATGCTCTTTTCGAGTTTGCCATCCACTTTGGCTGGAGAAAGCTGTGCAGGGGCTTTTCTCCGCCTTCATCAACTCTTTGAGAAGTGTGTTACCATGGGATAGATAAAAATTGTATTTGTAATTGTAAAAATTGTAATTGTATTCAAACCTGTACAGAATTCGCAATTTTCTGAACATTACAGTTCAGCCAACGTTTGTCTCTAGTAAGCTCATCCAGTACGTCTCGCATTACTCGTTCCAATCTCCGATTACAACACATAAAACCTGAAATAAGTGTAAAGTCAGGATTGATCACATTCCAAATGCCTTCTAGATACATAAGTGTGTACATAGTCAAACCGTAAACCGAAATGATTGTGCTCAAACTAAGTAAGAGCTGTATCCTAGAGTAATTTGTGAACAATGGCATGATCGATGAATAAGAGAGTGTAAATTCTTTTTGCGATGCCTGGGTTCACTGGTAAAGGAAGCCAAGGTTTTGAAAGTACAAGCTCAGCTTTCTAAGAGATTTGCAGAACGTACCTTAATGTAACGTATCTTCCATTGTACGTTCTTGATTCTGAACTGAACAATCAAGATTTTTAGGGATCAACTTATTCAACTTTTGGGATAACCGAACTGGTGATGGACCTGTACGAAAACGGTCCACCATATCCTTGACCGTTTCCTATATTCACATGACTGTTTATTAAAGTTCAGGTTCATTCATCAGCTAAATGGAATAGATAGTCATGATTGAACTGGAGTATATAAGTTTCCATGCCAATAGGTCCAGTTACGGACCATTGTATGCAGTCAAGGCTCAAACCATTTGTGCCCTCAAACTGAGTGTGGCTCTTCTCTTTAGTTTCTTAGGAAGTTGTGATATAAAAAAGACGGTTCACGCCTTTACGACATGAAGGTGGACCCTTCATGCGTCACAAGTGCTTCTATAGTCTTGAAGGTGACTAGAGTTCGTGGTTTATCCCAATTGTGGCTTCGAAGTCGTTTTGTGTTCAGACGGTAACTAAAAAAAGGATGGAAAACAAAGTGAAAATTGACGAACCACTGTCATTGGTGTAGCACTGGGGCAAAGGATATTTTGGTTTGGGCTGCACATATGTCGGTTGAGGAGCTGGCTGATAAGGATCATCGTATTTTCGCTCAGGTAGTCGATAGCGCATCGGGCTTGTGAAGAACTATAAGCAGAACAGTTTGATCCTTGTCGCTATGGAAGGCTACCTGGTAATCTTTTAAGTCCAGAACGAGCATGAAAATACACCTTCATCCTTCAAAATTGACGCTCTTCTCCTTGCACCTTCTCTCTCCCTTCCTCACCCCTCTCCCCTCCCCCTCCTTCCGCGCCCCCCTTCCCTTTTCCCCGCTCACCCTTCTGAAAAACATCTCTAATATCACAGTCTCCTTTCTTGTCATTCACGGCATGTATGTAGGTCTAGAAGCGTACACAAAAGCAGTTACTAAATGGCGAATACAACATGAGTTCTGAAAACTTCCCCCTATAACAGTCCGACCGTAAGGAAGTGCTTGAGTAAGTCCCAGGCTCCAAACCCAAACCGATCAGTGGGCGATTCACGCATACAGCTAGCTGGCGTTTTAGTGCCGCGACGGTATAAATACCCATTAATGCGGGGTGAAGCCAGAATAGGCAACTACAATTCAGGAGCAGCGACAACCACAGCCATGAAGAGAGAGAG